TAGTTGGGCTTCTCGGCATCCTCACACGTCCACAGCACGTTCGGATCGCCCTTGGACCTTCCCACAGGCCCAGCTGCCTCACGGATCAGCCTACTCTAACCTTAGGCCCGTGACATTTGTGGTATCAGAGCCTGGTTCGCTCACAAACGGACCAGGTCTCATTCCCGCTTCCGCACATCTACTCATCCGAGAATCCGAGAGATTTGTGGTATCAGAGCCTGGTTCGCTCACAAACGGACCAGGTCTCATTCCCGCTTCCGCACATCTACTCATCCGAGAATCCGAGAGAGTAAGGAGATCCGACAGCATGTCGAACCATGAAGGAGCCAACAACCAGCCCTTGGAGCACCACTCCGAGGCTGAGAATGGGCGTGGACGAGGCACAGACCTCGGTCCCACGACACGAGCTAGAGCACGCGCAACCGAGGCTCAAACGGGAACTGTAGAAGCACGTCTACGAGCTCTCGAGGAGGCCGAGGTTGAGCAAGACGCACGCACGGATGGTCTTGAGCAGGAGATCTCCGCTGTGAGTGAATCGACCAAGCATGTCCTAGACAACTTGGAGCAGCAAGCCCGAGCCGATAGAGACATGACCGACGAAAACTTTCGTCTTGTTCGTGAAAACCACGATCGCGAGGTAGGTGATCTACGTACCCTAGTCCATAATCTAACTCGTGAATGCAGGTCCCTTCGTGAGATGGTGCAACAAGCCCCTGTTCATGACCGAGACCATGCACCGAGGGAGCAAGTCATCCGCGGACCCGAGCCAAAACCCTACAATGGAGCGAGGAACTCTTCTACGGTAGAATCTTTTCTCTTTAGTATGGAACAGTACTTTGATGGTGCAGGGGTCACGGGTGAGATGGCCAAGGTTAAGGGCGCCGGGAACTACCTCCAAGACTTAGCACAATTGTGGTGGAGAAGGACCTTGTTGGACCAAGAGCGCCGGATCACCACTTGGGATCAATTCAAGGCTGCCTTGCGTCAACAATTCGTGCCCTCCAATGCAAGGGATGAGATACGGACACGTTTCCGTAGGCTTCGACAAACAGGAAGTATCTCGGACTATGTCCGAGAATTCTCTTCACTTTTACTTGAGCTTGGTGATGTTAGTGATCAAGATGCCCTCTTTCACTTCAAAGACGGGTTAAAAGACTTTGCTCGTCTAGAAGTGAATAGGAGGGAAGCTAACACTTTGAATGCAGCTATTTCTGTTGTAGAGGGACTTACGGACTACAGCGTAGCTCGTCCGAACATTCCCCACAAGCCGAGAGACGGGAACAGACCCCCCAACCCGAGAGCCGGGAACAGGCCACGTCCGAACCCCTCTCACCATGGACAGCCACGGACGGACAGACCTAACCAAGGGAGCTTCAATGGACAAAACCGAAAGGCCAAGCCACCCCCGAGTCCGTGCTTCCTATGCCAAGGACCTCATTGGGTCTGTGACTGCCCAAAACAGAAGAAGATGAACGCGGTGACCAGCCAACCGAGCAAGGGCAAGGGCAAAGTCACCGAGGACGAAGGCCAAGCCATCGTCGGTTCTCTACACCGCTTCGGGACGTTGTCCAAGCCGACCATCCCCGAGGATGACAAGAACACCGAGACCAAGTCTAAAGGCCTCCTTTACGTGGACGTAGAGATATACGGTAAGATCGTTCCTGTCATGTTTGATACCGGTGCCTCACA